CAGGTGAGTGCACCAATGTTGTGCAATGCCTGCAGAAGTCAGAAGAGGGCATCGGATCCCCTGGAACTGGAGTTAAGGACAGTTGTTAGTGGCCATTTGGGTATTGGGAATTGAACCTAGGTCCTCTGCAAGAACAGTTAATGCTCTTAATCACTGAGTCATCTCTCCAGCCCAGCTATTTTTTCTTAATGAATGTGAAGAAGACCTTAAGAGTTTAAATTATTAACTATATAAATATAAATTACTATTAGTTGATTTATGCTAATCACTCTACTCAATCTCATTACTGATGTTGCAGAATATTTCAGTAACTCTGAAGAGTTAAGACAAACACTGAATGTGTTTAAGAGCTGGGGTGGGGTGAAGCTCAGTTGATAAGAGTGGAAAGCTCTGGCTTTGATTCCCAGTCCTTAATAAGCCAGGCATGGTGGGCCACACCTGTAATCCTACCACTCAGGAGGATCAGAAGTTCAAGATTCATCCCCAACTATGTAGTGACTTTGAGGCCAACCTGGGCTACATGAGGCCCTTTCTCAAAACAAATAAATAAACTTAAGCTAAAACATCAGGAAGAGGGCTGGAGGGATGGCTCAGCGGCTAAGAGCACTGACTGCTCTTGCAGGACCTGGGTTCGATTTCCAGAACCCCCATGGCAGCTATGAACTGTCCTTAACTCCAGTTCCAGGGGAATCCAAAACCCTCTTCTGACCTCCATGGTATTGCACAACATGGGTGCACTCACACACATGCAGGCAATATACTCATACACAGAAAATAAAGATAATAAATAAAATATTTAAACACACACACACACATCAGGAAGAAACCAAGAACTCAAACTGCTGTTGCTGCCAAACTTTTAAAGATATTTTTGGGTTTATTGTTTTTGGCTGTTTATTTATTTTTTTAAATGTATGTATGTGTGTGGGCACACATATGGATGACCGAGGTTGCCATCGGGATGATTCTTCAGATAAGGAGTAGTGTAGCTAGCCAGCTTGCTTGGCATTTATGTGGGTTCTGGAGATCCAAACTTCAGTCCTGATGCTTGAGCAGCAAGTGCTTTATCCACTGAGCATCTCCTGAGCCTGGTTTTTGTTTGTTTCTGTCCTCTTCCCTCTTGCTCCTGTCTGGTTTGATTTGTTGCTGATATTTGGCGCCAGGGCCAGGCTATATAGGCTAGACTCAAACTGGCCATTCTTTTGCCTCAGTCTCCTGAGAGCTGGGATTACAGCTGTGCACCACCACGCGGGACTTCTTTTTAATCTAATTTTATCTAGACAGTGCACAGTTAGGGGAAGAGGCGAAAGGCAATCTGAATAGGAGCTCTATGTGCTGTCTGCCTATCATCCCAGCACTCTGGAGTCTGAGGCAGGCTTTCAAGTTCAAGGCCAGCCTGGTATTCACGATACGATTTTATCTTAAAAGACCCAAGCCAACCAAACAAAACCCCCACATAGTCTGAGTATGATTCAGGAAGGAAGGAAGATGCGCACGGTTTAAAGAGAAACCGTAAACAAGAAAATAAACATGGGTTGGGGGATGGTATTCCATTCTATAAAAGGCAGAAGTTGGGGAGAAAAGGAACGGGGTTGGACGACATTTAACTCAGACGGACAGAGGGGTGGGAGACATGTTAGGAAAGAAGAGTGCAGGGAAAGGATACACACACAAACAGTAAAAAGACTGAAGTGCAGGATATCAAATATTTAGAGGGTGAGGCAGGATGAGAACGACAGGGCTGGGCAGAGCACTAGGAGAGTAGTAAAGGATGGAGCTGGGTAGAGACGCAAAGGTGGGGAGAAGCCTGGAGTAGTAGGAGGCCAGAGCTGGAGAAGATGCAAAAGGCTGGTAGGGCTGGGCGGTGAGGACGAGAAGTGTGAGCGGACTACTATGATGTCCAGCAAAAGCCTCCGCGCTGGGAGGGAGTGGGCACTGGGATGAAGGAGGGTGGAGGCGCAGCGAGTGGGGAACCCTTCAGGACAGGTCCTCACCGTGGAGTCCGTAAAGGACGAACCCGGGAGAAAGGGCAGGCCGTGCACTGGGTTGGTCACCATCTCAGCTGCCGCTGCTGCCGCCACTTCCAGTAGCCTTTGTTGGTGGGCCCCGGGTTGCCCTGGCAACAACAAGCAGCGTCTCCGGGCCTCCCCTGACTCCATGGCAACGCCAAACACACAAGGGTCCGCGAGCCAGGGGTGGGGCCTGGGGCGGAGTACGGGTCTGCGCGTGCGCAGAGCCCCTCCCCCCC